CGGCCACTAGAGGTGCCAGCCGTCCCCGCACACTCCTACCCCAGCCAGGTCCCGGGGATGCGGCCACTAGAGGTGCCAGCCGTCCCCGCACACTCCTGTCCTCTGGTCTGGCTGTGGGAGAATCCCCGAGTTGCTGAACTGTGCACAGCAGGTGGAGGCAGCAGGCCAGTGGTGGTGGGTGTAAAGAGGACGGTCCTCAGGGACAGACCCTCAGGGGCCCTGGAGCGAGCAGAACACCCCAAGCTCAGCTACACCTTCACCAGGGACCCCCATGCCCAGCAGCCCACAGGCCAGCAGGAGCCCCCACTCCTTGAACACAGTTCCAGTTCCCAGGAACGTCACCACCACAAGAAATGGGGGATCCATGCTCAGCGCCACTGCACCCCAGGCAGCCCCACTAGCACGGCTCTGTGTGACACCAGTTGTGACATTACAGGGCTGCAGTCACACAAGCAGCGTCTTCTGTGAACCTGCTTTTCCCTTGGTGCTGGGTGTGGAACCAGGGCACCCACCGCGGGGCCACGTGCAGCCCTGTTTGTTTTGTGCCCTGAGTCAGGGTGCCACTGAATCCCTTAGGGCCTCCCTAAGTGGCTGAGCTGGCTTGGAACTTGTGATCCTCCCTCCTCAGCCTCCTGAGCCACAAGGATCACAGGCAGGGGCCACCGTGCCCAGGGAAGTCACATATCATAAAAGAACATCTGAGGTGGCAGCAGGAGAAATGCCCAGGGAAGCTCCCAGGTCCACACCCAGGGCCCTGCACCGGACACCTTGGGCCCCTGCATTCACACTGTGGGTCCACCCAGCGCCGGGACTGCAGTGACCAGAGTCCCACCTCAAGGTCCACAGCAGTCAGGATCACACCACATCAGGATCCTGGGGACAAGCAGGGCGAGAGGGACAAGCTCCAGGCCCAGGTGACACCCGGACCCCAGCACCACAGGCCCTGGGTGGGCACAGGGCGGGGGACGGCTTCCCAGCAGACAGCCACTTTCGCCTCTACCGACCCCAGGAGTGGACGGCACCCCAGGGCAGCGTGACAGCACTGTCTCTTCAGGGAAGAGGAGAAGCGGGCTTCTGCCTCGGCCACCCCAGGGCGAGGGACAGCAGGCGTGACCAGGCCTGAGCCTGCATTCCCAGGGCTCTCCGTCCTTCCCAGCGCCTCCTGTGGCCTCCAGGAACGCTGGACCCTCCGCCGGCAAGCTCGCACGTCACGCACACCTTGTCACTCCCCACACACACCGGGCCACGCCCCACACACACGGCCCCAGAGCGGGCAGTGGTGGCCCTCGCCCAGCGAGGCAGGGTGGGCTGCCTGTGTCCCCTCACCCAGAGCTGGGACCCTACAGCTGGGACCCGCGGTGTCTTTCAGGGAGCTGTGGCCACAGGGAGGCCAGTCCCGGAGCACTCAAGGAGCAAAAGAGGGGCGTGGCCAAAGCCGAGCCCCGCTCTCGGCACAGTGACATCGGGCCGAGGTGTCCTGCCAGCCAGGCACCCCAGCAGACCAGCAGGCACCAGGCAAAGGCAGGACCAGACCTTGGGAGGCCTTCATGGGACATCAGGTGACACAGAAACGGCAGGCGGGGCCTTTCTGGTCAAATGCTAGACCCAGCAGTCACATTTGGGCGTGTCTCTGCTCCCCAAAGTTGGTGACCCCCGTAGATGGCCGGCTACTCCCCTGTCCCCACTTGTGTGGTCCTCAGCCCTAAAGGCCACCGAGCTCCCAAGTCGGTAGCACAGGCAGGCTTCATGCTCCATCTCTGGAGGGCACCCCATGGGGGCCACGCAGGGGGGCGGGGGGGTGATGAGCCCTGGGGCGCCTCCTCGCGGCAGCACCTCCAGCTCTCCTGTCTCCACTCTCAGGAGCAGGCACAGCCTCGGTGACGGCCCTCAGAACTCGGGGCTGCGGAAGCCTCCTCGTGGCCACTCATAGAAGGGTGGCAGTAAAACCCCAGCGGCCAGCCTGCCTCTCGCCAGGCGGCCGGGCCCAGACCCATCATGGACACGGAGCAGGCGTCGGCTCCTGGCCCAGGTGTCTCAGTCTTCCGCTTACCTCGGCGTGCTCCGACTGGCTGACCCCAGGACGGCCTGCCCGGGCCAGGGGAAGCTAGGCCGGCAATGCCCACAGCGTCTCCGCCGTCGCACCTTGGACTTGCCAGCCGGAAGGCCTCCACTCTGGAAGAGAAAGGCCCAGTCACTGACAGCCCTCCCCGCGGTGCCCAGCGATCGGCCTCCCCAGAGCTGGGCTCACGGGCCCGCTCCACAAAAGCCCCTTGCCCAGCACGGGCTGCACTGTCCTTTAAGGGGTACACAGTGGCCTGCACCCCTCCTGCCCTCAGCAGGACATGCACACACATGACCGCCACATGGAGACCTTTGCAGCCAACGGTCCCCAGCATAAAGCCACCCAGAACCCAGGAAGGAAGGAGACTGGGGCCCTCCTGGACACACTGATCCTCGTCAGCTCAGCTGGCCCCCACGTGCACACCCGTGTACATGAGTGCAGACACAGAGACGCACGTGTGCCCCACCCTGCTGGGCCCGGGACAGCCCTCTCCAGCTGGTCTGCTCTGCAGGATAGTGGTTTCCAGAGGCCAGGAGCACTGGAACGCGGTCCACCCTTACTGACTACACAGCTGAGTCAGTCCTCCGAGGGGTGAGGCCGGAGACACTGCCAAGCACCCTTCTGGGCCTGAGGTCCACCAGGGACCCAGGCAGGTCCTCTGTCTGTGAGGGCCGATGTGGGCACGCTGACAGCAGGCTCCCTCCCGCTCTGCGCTCGCACCACCACGGCGATGGCCGTATCACAGATACCTCGCTGGCCCGGGGCCACAGCCGACATCATGCTGTCCAGTACAGGGCACCTGTCCAGAGTCCAGGGCTGCAGGCCTCGGGACCCTTCCCATCTCACCCCCCTCAAGGACCCGGGAAGGCACGAGTGCACATTGCACAGGACGGAAACAGCGGCGCCCTGGTGGCCCGCAGATGCCCAGAGCCAGCCCAGAGCAGAGGAAGGGGGAGGAACGGACCCACCCCTGGTAGGGCAGAGCCACCTGGCCGAGCTGGCCAGGTCTGGACCAGAGGCCTGGGCTGGAGAGAAAGTGAGTGCCCGTGGGCTGGGCGGCCAGCAGCCAGGCGGCAGGCAGCGTGGCTCTGCAAGTCAGCGCCCAGAGAAGCCGCGCTCCTGCTCCCACCTCCTGGTGCCCTCTTCAGGAAGCCACCAGGCCCGGAGGTCAAGCTAGCTGGACAAGGCCACAGACCCCGCCAGCAGTGCTGGCCAAGGCACTGAAGGAGTCTCAGGGGCCCCGAGGAGAACCAAAGAACCCAGTCTCAGGCGGAACTGAGTCCCCAGACACACGGCCACCTCCAGACACAAGGTGACCCTGCTGAAGTCCCAGTCACCACCAAGAGCCAGTCCCTAACCTGCCACCTCGAGCCTCACAAAGTGGTGGTGTTGGATGTCAGTGAGTTTGGGGATGGGTCAGTAGGCAGCCAGTGCTGGCCAAGACAGAATGGTCACTTCAAACCCTAACAACACAGAACAGGGTCCGCTTCAGACCTGAGGACCCCGAGTGCACGCGAGAGGTGACCAGACGGTAGGGCAGTCAGCCAGTGGGTAGGAGACAGCCAGACCACCCGCCCGGACTGGCGGGGCTGGAGGCAGGTGGGTGGGCCGCGGGGTCTGCATCTTGTCCCTGGTGGGCGGAGCTCTCTGCTCCCTGGCACCCCCTCCTGGGCTGCTGTCCCCCGACTCCTTCTGCCATGACGTTCTGCCTCACCGTGGGCCAGAGCCACCGAGTCGGCCAACCATGGACTAGACCCCCGAAACCGTGAGCCGAAATGCACTGTCCCCCTCATAGGTGGCTGGTGTCGGTCTCTTGGTGACAGCGGCAAAAGCTGACAAAGCACACATTGAGAACTTCATTCCCAAACCCGTGGCTTAGGTAAGAGGAGCAGGTTCTACACACACGCTCACCGGGCTTGGTCCAGAAGAAACAGGAGTTGATGGCCCACATGTGGAAGGGCCAGAGTCAGAAACGAGAGCTCCAGCCTGGACGGCTTCACCGAGACCTGGGCCCGACCCCCAGGACGCGCTGAGGCAGGTGGGAGGGCGTGGGCTGGCGGCAGCAGAGCGCTCCAGCAAGGGAGAGCCGGAGTGCAGACCAGGCAGGGTGCACGCACACCCATCCACCAGAGCAGCCGCGGGGCCACGCAGGACAGCACCCCCACACCCTCAGGATGCGTGCTCACTGGGAAACGAGGAGGGACAGGGACTGTCCTATGGAACACACGGGAGACCCTGCCTAGCCGGGATGGACAGCAGCTGTCCGCCAAGGGCACGAATGTCACCGTGGGTGGCCAGTCTTCATGTGGGCCTGTGATGTCCCCGTGGACACGCAGCAAGACCATTCTCTTCTACACGTGGCCCGTGTGGACTTTGGCCCTCACAACAGCAGGCACCAGGAAGAGAGGCCACGCCTGCCGCGGCTGGTCCTCCAGGCAGCTCTGCAGCCAACTCCACCACCACGCACCAGCGGGTCTACCAGCTGACCACCCACAATAGTCGCAGCGGAAGAGAGAGGCCCAGGTGGGGAGCCAGAAAGGGCAGAGCAGGGAGGGACTGAAAAGCCTCGGCATGAGGCAGGAGCCAGGGCAGAGCCCTGCCCAGCAGTGCCACGGCGCCAAGCCAATTCCAGTCCAGAGCTACTCGGTGGAGGAGACGCGCCTGCAGGTGGGGCAGGTGACCTGTTCAGAAGGCCCAACCAGGGACGGCAGAGGCCGCGACGGCAAGGTGGCCGCAGAGCACCAAGGAAGCCGGGCTAAAGGACGTGGAGGAGGTGCGGAGGGCAGCAGGCTGGCCCTCGGGCAGGGCCACTCCTACAGAAGGGCAGCTAGGAGGAAGAGGCAGTCCAGCAGGAGAGGTTCCGGGTGCCCGTCCCTTGTGTGCTCCGAGCTCCAGTTAGGAAACGGCGGGTACCGCACATCTCATGGCGTCGAACGCAGTCCTCTCGCTGTTCCCAAGCAGGTGAGACTCCAGTTAGAGAGCGTGAGCCCTCAGAAAACCTGGGGTGCCAACGAGACCTCTGGGCAGCAGCTGACCTGTCCCTGGTTCCCTGCACTGTGTTGGAGCAGAGGGATGGAGACGTGTCTTGGTTGGTTCTACCCAGTAGATGAACGAGTGGGCGTGCTCAGCAGAAGAGCAACTCCTCTCCCCAGGGACACAGGACTGCAGGACGGTCCCCCGCACAGTGAGCGCGGAGCCTCCTGAGAGCGGCCCGTCTCCCTGCAGTGCGCCTCAGCAGGACTCCTCTTCTGAAGACACGTCTTTGCTCATTTGTTTGGTTCTGGGGAGGGAAGGCAGGCCTCGTGCACGCTAGGCAAGCCTAGACCACTGAGCTGCACCCGGCCTGGGCTCGTCCTTTAAAGCCCACTAGCCACATGGCTGGACACTGTTTATGACCTGAGAGAAGACACTCCCTGAGCTCCCAGCATCCGTCCGAAGTCTCCGCGGAAGGCACCTGGTGCCGCGCTGGGTCACTGCGAGGCAGGGTCTTCACCTGCCGCGTCCTGCTGCGTCCCTGACCCGAGGCCTGCTGAGCTGGCTGCACGGCCTCCAGCAGAAGCCACAGGGCAGCGGGGCAGCAGGCAGTCCCTGAAGGGCTTGGCTCCCTCCACCACAAACCCCACCCAACAGCAGGTCCCGGGGCGCTGCACTCACTGTGGACCTGGCTACTGCAAAGGCAGGCAGGGCACAAGGCCAAGTCCACCCTGCACCACCTGCCCAAGCCTGAGGACGCGGGGACGGAAGCCCAGGGCTGAGGCCTGCCGAGAAGGGGCACAGCAGGCACCCCACCAGCCCCACCTGGTGTCCACTGAGCCTGGACTCAGGGAAGGCAGCCCTGACGGGGGCAAGCAGGGAGGACCACAGAAGTCCCTGTCCAAGGAAAACGAGCAGCTCAGGCCAGGAGGACTGTCCCTCAGGCCATGAGGACGGGAGGATGAGCTAGTACCAGCAGGACGTGTGAGAGACAGCGGGGCCAGCTGGCCACCCACCCGCACACAGAAGCAAAAGCTCGCAGAGACGGACGCAGTGGGGCCAGTTACTGGCATCTCCGTCTCAGGGGTCACTGCAGCTCTGGCTTCCTCCACACCTGGCCCTCTCAGGGCGCCTCCAGGACTCCACCCGGCTGCGGTTCCCGCCTCCCAGGCCTTCTTCCTTTGAAAGTTTGGTGGGCGCCTCCTTGACCCCCAAACTCAGCATCCTGCATTCCCGCAGAGCCAGCCCCTCATGGCTGACACCCAGTCGGCTGCCATCTCCAGCAGTGGCCAGGCCTCCAGGACCCTGGCTGCAGAGCCTCTGGGGGCCTGGCGGAGCACACTGGAAAGCCTCCCTAGGACCCCTTGTGCGAGAACTGTGCCCGCCGCTCTCTTCTCAAGATCATGTCCCTTTCACTCCTTTAAGCCCGAGACAGGTGCCAGCTCCTGAGATGCCCTCAAGCCATCTTTCTCACTGTCTCTGGGCAAAGCCTTTAGCATTTTAGTGGCCTGAGGTCTTTATCAACTGCAGCTTCCTTGGGCCCAGTTTCACTCCTGAGACCAGCAAGCAGAGAGATTCAAGTGCGCGTTTTTTAAATCTTTCTGCTCTGCTTTCTGCTCCTGATTATCACAATTAATTTGGCTAAAAGCTGCCAGCAATATCCATGCCACCGCCTGAATGCTATGCTGCCTAGAAATTTCCTCCACCAGATAAAGAAATCCATTGCTTTTAAACCTGGCCTCACAGAAAGTCTCAAGAGACAAGCAAATCAACTTCTCAGCCAGAACATAACACAAAGGGCCTCTAGTCCATTTACCAACAGTGTCCTCCTTTTCCTCTAAACCCTCTTGAGCCCTGTCTTCACTGTCCACAGTCCTGTTAGCATTCTGGTCTTCTGAGCTCCCACCAGAATCAGCCAGTAAGCTTAAACAACCTAAAGCATTTCCAGCTTGCGCTACTAAACATCTCAAATTCCTCCCATCAATTCCAAAAAGCTCCAAAAAAAATCTGGAGCCAAGGCTCAGAGCGCTTGCCTGGCACGCATGAGGCACTGGGTTCGATCCCTGGCACCACATAAAAATAAAAAATAAAATAAAGGTATTGTGTCCAGGGCTGGGGATGTGGCTCAAGCAGTAGC